TTTCATACAACCGTGTTGGAAAATTTTTATTTTGTATAAAGATACGCGGTCTATTCATTTTTTTTAAGTCTATTCATTAAGTTAATTCTATTATTCAAACATTGATATTACTCTGCTTAGAACGGATAATTGAGATTATACTGTATTCTTTTCAAGAACAATTTTCGAAAGTCATTGCACTTGTTAAATATGTTATGAAGTTCCATTTAATTTTATTTTAAAGTTATTACTTTATGAAGTATTGATTTATACAATGTGTTACAAAGAACACATGCCACGTCGACGCATATAATGTGTTAATATGTTCGTTACCAGTATTATATATATGTGACAGTGACAACCACATGGCTTGATTAAATTAAACATTAAATTCGGTTTATAAATCTGCTTATATTCACCAAATTACTTGTGACCTGTTTACTGTATGAACGAATATTTCGGACAAAAGTCCTGTAGGCTATATCGAGACATCAAGGTCACCTATAGCTATTTCATTGTAACGTGTATTTGTCTTTGCAATCGATGTGGGTGCGGGATTCTGAGTAAAAAAAAGCTATTTCAGCACACGAGTTCAAAAAATTAATACTTATTGAGATCTTATTCTTGAAACGATTTTTATTTTATATGGTGCTCAAATTGTTGCCCATTATGAACAATACAAATAGTGCATTCATACAATTGATACAAATTGACACACATCATTATTGAAAAACTATACGTATGCACGTCCAAATAACTCGTATTAGAATTTTTCCAATCATTACTGTCAAATAATTGCAAGAACAATTATCAATTTCAAGAACATTGAAACTTCGGCAATTGTTCAATAATCTATGCATAAACTAATGCGTTTCTCCATTTTACGAATAAATAAATAACGAACAAATAATTCTAGCAACCTCACAACAAAAAATATGAAGCCGCTTCTCGGCGTAATTGCGTGATCCAATCTCTCGATCGACCCTTCGCTTTTGAACGATCGTGTGTCGCTTCTAGCAATCGCTTGACAATTTTCGCTTCTCGAAATGAGCGAGAAAAGGGTCGATTAAATCTCAGGCCAAAATTCAGCGGAACAGAGGGCCAATTGTTCTTTATTTCGGCGACATATCTTCCTCTCGTCGATCGTTCGAGCTCGTTCGGACTCGTTTGAGCTCGTTCGTACCTTGGGAATCGAACTCGAGGCGCGTGTACGTATCCGTAATTGATTTACACTATAGCAGGGAAGGTCCGCGTGCCGAATTTTTATCGAACATCCGACCCGAGCAGCGAATTCCATTAATTGTGTCCGGAATAATTCACGTTTCACCGAAAATCAATTAATCTCGGCGAACTCTGTTGCACATACATCCGAATTTTCTGTTGTTTAGTGAGCTCGCGATCTAATTAGAAATTACTTCTACACCACAGCGTGGCGTTTGTACGGTTCTCAAGGCTTATAACGCTGCAGCTGTAATCGCAGACATTCTTTATTCGTCATAAAACTAAAGCGAAATACGAATAATTAATGCAGGTTTTTACCATTTATGTGCACTCGCTCGAATGGGTCGCAGCAACAGAACTGTTCGATGATCCGTCAATTTCTAAAGAAACGATCAGCGATAGAAACAAAAAACTGTTCTAAGTAATAAAATATAAAAAATTATTTTATTAATTAACTATATTCATATTATTATTGGAGTATCTTGAAAAACTATTACGCGAGTTTTTCATTATCTTTTTTTATGTTATCTATTTTACGTTATTGTTTTTATACGTATATCTAATTAAAGCTTAAAATTGTCAATGATTTAGTTACATTTTAAAATATAATTCTATTGCCTTATTTTTAGATTTAAACAGTCCTTGAATAATGTATATGATGTATAAATTGATGTATAAATTCTATATCATATACGTATAATATATATAAATATATATGTATATTTTAATATGCATAATAACTATATCTATAAGTTCTAATCATTGCGACCTCGAAGAAAATGTTACGGCAAGTGACCAAAGTATGCTGCGAAAGTAGAACGATGACGGATAGAAAACGAAGTCTGAAAAACGATTGGACCATGACGCAATTACTCTTCCCGGCGTTGAAATCTGTCCGTATCGTTTGATCGAACGACACATTCGTACAAAAAAACGAATCCCCGCGAGCAGCTGAAACTTTTTTTCAGCTAATATTCGGGACCAACTGCGGCAGCCAATTATTCGGCCCGTGTCGATTTCTCGCGGCGAAGTCGGAAAAGGTGGTCGCTAGTCGCATGCCCAACGAGGCATGTAGCTGGAAACGATGACACCAATGGCGGACAAGCTGGCAACACCGATGAAATGAGAGTCGGACCTTGGATTCGTTTAATGCCGCTCGAAACTTTATGAAAGCTTCGCGAACGTGTCGGTTCACCGTCGCTGTATTTTGTTTACGACAGAGCGAACTACGGCAACAAAATTCGCGCGGTTGCAGGCTCGCTGTTCCGTAAGATACTTGTCAATTTATTCGTCAGCCTGACGAAAATTGTATGAAATATTAAATCATATATCGAAGTCTTGATCTGTTTTCCAGGGAATTAACTTTTATTCGACTCGTTTCACAATGGGATCTTTTTTCGTCGCAATGAGAAGTTGTATTATCTCGTTCGGGGAATTAAAAAAAGTGGTTTTTCACTTGTTGATTATTTAATTCGACAATTTATGACATATTTGGAAAATATACAGAGTGTCCCAAAATTATGGTATTTCCGGGAAATGTGAGGTTCCTGAGATCATTTGAAGTAACTTTTTCCTTTACAAAAATGTTCTCCGGGGCATCGTTAACGAGTTATTAACGAAAAACACTGACCAATGAGAAGCGAGCTCGGTTAGCGCGAGGCGGCCGAGCCAATGAGCGGAACTGAGCTTCGTACACTCGTTGGCTCGACGGCCTTGTGCCAGTTAAGCTCGTTTATCATTGGTCAATGTTTTTTTGTTAATAACTCGTAAACAAAAGCGCGAATTGCATTTTCGCTAAGGAAAATGTTACTTCAAATGACCCCAGGAATCTCTCATTTCTTGGAAGTAACATAATTTTGGGATATCCTGTATATATGTTACAGTGAAACACCGAAATCTGGAGAGTGTCGACTTTCACCGGTGAATGTCAACATTCACATAGTCGCTTGGTGTATGTCCGAAATATTTGCTAAATACCCTTATCTCTGACTTACACCGAGATGTGTATAAGAGACAGCCATTAGTGCATGGTGAATGTCAACATTCACATAGTCGCTTGGTGTATGTCCGAAATATTTGCTAAATACCCTTATCTCTGACTTACACCGAGATGTGTATAAGAGACAGCCATTAGTGCATGGTGAATGTCAACATTCACATAGTCGCTTGGTGTATGTCCGAAATATTTGCTAAATACCCTTATCTCTGACTTACACCGAGATGTGTATAAGAGACAGCCATTAGTGCATGGTGAATGTCAACATTCACATAGTCGCTTGGTGTATGTCCGAAATATTTGCTAAATACCCTTATCTCTGACTTACACCGAGATGTGTATAAGAGACAGCCATTAGTGCATGGTGAATGTCAACATTCACATAGTCGCTTGGTGTATGTCCGAAATATTTGCTAAATACCCTTATCTCTGACTTACACCGAGATGTGTATAAGAGACAGCCATTAGTGCATGGTGAATGTCAACATTCACATAGTCGCTTGGTGTATGTCCGAAATATTTGCTAAATACCCTTATCTCTGACTTACACCGAGATGTGTATAAGAGACAGCCATTAGTGCATGGTGAATGTCAACATTCACATAGTCGCTTGGTGTATGTCCGAAATATTTGCTAAATACCCTTATCTCTGACTTACACCGAGATGTGTATAAGAGACAGCCATTAGTGCATGGTGAATGTCAACATTCACATAGTCGCTTGGTGTATGTCCGAAATATTTGCTAAATACCCTTATCTCTGACTTACACCGAGATGTGTATAAGAGACAGCCATTAGTGCATGGTGAATGTCAACATTCACATAGTCGCTTGGTGTATGTCCGAAATATTTGCTAAATACCCTTATCTCTGACTTACACCGAGATGTGTATAAGAGACAGCCATTAGTGCATGGTGAATGTCAACATTCACATAGTCGCTTGGTGTATGTCCGAAATATTTGCTAAATACCCTTATCTCTGACTTACACCGAGATGTGTATAAGAGACAGCCATTAGTGCATGGTGAATGTCAACATTCACATAGTCGCTTGGTGTATGTCCGAAATATTTGCTAAATACCCTTATCTCTGACTTACACCGAGATGTGTATAAGAGACAGCCATTAGTGCATGGTGAATGTCAACATTCACATAGTCGCTTGGTGTATGTCCGAAATATTTGCTAAATACCCTTATCTCTGACTTACACCGAGATGTGTATAAGAGACAGCCATTAGTGCATGGTGAATGTCAACATTTACCGGTGTAAGTCAGAGATAAGGGTATTTAGCAAATATTTCGGACATACACCAAGCGACTATGTGAATGTTGACATTCACCGGTGAAAGTCGACATTCTCCAATTTCGGTTATTCACGGTAACATATATACACAGTTACACGATACATGTAAATTTTGGAAATAATTCAAAAATTAGTGTCATATATATGCCTTTTGCAATTGGACCGTACCGACGACATAATATCTACTGATTCTTAAATAACCAGACAGAATTGTCAAAGTAAAATCTACGTAATGGATAGAAAACGTTAATGTTAAAAGCCTTAGAAAGCGGAGATTTTTAAAGATCTCATGGAAGAAGATAACATAGCTCTCGGCATTAGGTATAAAAGTAATTACGATTTAACTATCTGTCAGAAGTGAAAAAATTGGATGATGCTTTCATAAAACTGGGCGAAAATAAATCTAGGTTTTGTAAACATGCGGTAAAGATTAAAAATCAGTGTAATTCGTTGGAAGTATTTTTCGAAAAATATTCATGTTGGATGTGGTTCTGCTTTCAGGAGTGGAACGATTACAAGTTGAAGTGGAACCCGGACGACTATGGCGGTGTCGACACTCTCCACGTACCATCGGAACACATATGGCTGCCGGACATTGTTCTTTACAACAAGTAAGTGCATTCTACATTTTCTTATATACTCTGTAGGTACAGCAAATTTCAACCGCGCTGATTGTACATCGATAATCAACTATCCCCTTCGATATATTTTCTACGATTATTTTTATAATTATAGAAATGAAGTACTTTAAAACCTTGATCAGCAATAAGTAATTGTATCAGCAATTGTATCATTTTGGAATCATTCGGATTTCATTCGCCTCTCTCGGATGTATCTTTTCACGTTTGCTATCTTATCGCCTAATATCTAATTTCCTGCTCAACGCTTACATTCGGTGACGATATTAATCCTTTGCAGTTAAGCGTATCTTCCCAGGGGACGTAGCAATCTTGCCAGCAATTGTAGTACTTCCCAGATTACAAATTTTTGTTTCATACAATCTGATACCGAATTCTATTTAAATACTGATTTCTATTAAACATTTGATTATAGTGTCACTTACTACTTCGTGAATAAATAAATTTGATTTGCCGGGGTAAGTGTGTATGTAATCTGAAGAAACTCCGCGCGAGTGCAAAGCGTTAATAGCTTCTTAATCAAATTGCGTTATCGGGCCAGTTCGAAGTAGTCTTCGCGACCGAACGAGATTAAAAACATAAACCGAAAGTCGATCGGTTAGAAAACATGGGATAAAGTACATCGGCACAGACTGAAAACAATTTTCCGCACAACATCTTGTATGAACGGATGCAGGTTGCCCCGCGGAAGTAATCTGTCCGAACGATTTTATTTTTACAGTCGGAAATGGCCGCTGTAAACAGCTGCTCGATACGCTAGCGGAGGATATTGCGAAAGCTTCCCGTTCGATGTCGTACACTGCTGTCGTTTCTAATTTCATAAACTCCACACCACTCGCACACTGTCGCGTTTCAAAAACTTGACACGTGCTCGCTGGAAATTACTCGAATCGGAAGAAAACGCACGAAGCATGTCCATGCATTTATACCGCGTTAGATACGTGTTAGAACCAAAAATTATAAAATTTAAAGTACGATTAAATTCGATGTTATTATTAATTCGATGTTAACATATTTCAATCATACATTCAAAAAATGAACTTTCGTTGGACTCTATTTTAAGTTTAATACGCTATTCAGGTGAAAGACAAAATTAAACTACGTTGAATAAAATTGAATTAATAAGGGGAGAAAGAAGATGTGTTTTCGTGTAATTGTACATTTTTACTTTCGCAAAGACATAAATGCGGCATGGCAGCAGAAATTTGAGATACGCACGCTAATACCACTATGAATGAAAGAATTCTGCGAAGTTGATTAGAAAAATTCCGCGATGAGTTTTCACTCTCATTCATCAAAGATTCACAGTGATTCGATTCTAATTCGCCCGTAATAGAGTGCACGAGTGCTTAAGAATATTCAATGCCGATTTCGCCGAAAATGAAGGTTCGTTGGGGACCTGAGGTTGTTAATTATCAGGATGCACGTATAGTTGCTTTGAAAATGATACTTTACTAAGTGTCTATTCGATACAGCGATACGAATTTTGAAGATAGAGCATTCGTTTAGTTTGCATAATATCGCTGGATTATGGTGACACTCAAATACCGTGAATAAGGTGAAAAGTTTGTCCGTTCAACGAGGCGCGGAGAATCAGATTGATGCTTTGTTTTCACCTTATCATCTCGTGTAGAATCACGTCCCTTTCGCTTGTACGACCGGCGACCCTCTGCATAATCAGCTAATGAAAAATGAGCAACTTGTCCGATAAATCAGCGTGACAAAGTTCGAGACTAGATGGAGTTTCCCTGTATGCATGCATATTGGGCATAGTCGCGACCGACGTTCCGGCCATCCTTTCGGGTTAATCCGGGCAGGGTGGATCCTCTTTTCTCTCATTCTTTCGCTGATGGTGGCGGTCGTGTATCGGGCCGGTTGCCGAGCAGCTAGTCGTCTGTCACCTTGGTCCCAGCCATAGTTCATAGGATTTTAGCGCGGCGGAAAGTGCGGAGGACGGTATCTCGTAAACCTACCGTGGAATATTCGAGGGCGGTACGTGACGGTTTCGCTGGCATCCGGTAAGACCATTTTGAAAATCCACGGCCGAGAGAACGGCTCGCATACGTCCCGCGTATACTCCCGCCGGCTAACGCTGAGAAATAGGATGTAGTTCGCCGCACGGACGACACTTTTACGAGGAAGCTGGGTCACAGAACCGACCCCGGACAACGTCGTTCGCTCGACAACGATGCCTTGTGCTCGCGCCCGCAGACTTCGCCGCTGGTTATCGCAACGGCCGACCGGATTCCCCTTTGTGGCTGATGAACCACGATCAGAGTTGTCCTCCTGAAACCGAATCTACGGTGCCCGGTACTTTCGACGTCTACAACCACACTGTCAAAAAGTTTCCGTTCGTATACACTAATGTACAATTTACAGAAAATATTATAATATATATTACAATATTATAATATTATAATATTCGTCATTCGTCCTCATTCGTCTTATCTGCATATAAGAACATTTCATAACTCCAAAATATATTTTAATATAATAATATATATAATATTATATAATATTATAATATATTTTGGGGAGACGGGAACGCAGAAGGGATCTAAATAATATAAATAAGTACAACATGACACAATCTTTCATTTATTATCAAAATGAAACCACAGAGAAGACAAAATATTATGTGGAAAAATGTTTCCGATCGGTACAAATGTTGGATAAAAGTTTTCGATCATTGAGTTATTAATATTTTGTTGCATCACCACGTGCTCGTATGATACTTTTAACGCGTTGGGGCACTGACATAGCTAAGTTCTCACAATCCCTAGGCGAAATTTCTTTCCACGACAATTTTATGACATATGTCAATGTTCCTCTTTAGTTTTTGGTTTTTTCTCTTGAATCAATTTTTTAAATTCTGCCTACGTGTTCTCGATTGGGTTCAAATCGGGACTGTTCGCAGGCCACTTCAATGTTTTAATATGATTTTGCTCTAAATGGTCTTTTAATAATTTGCTGCGGTGACAGCTAGCGTTATCATCTTGGAAAATGAAATCTGAAGAATCTCCGAACCACTCCTGTATGCTTGGAATTAAGAAATCTTCTAAAATATTAATATATATTCCTGCAGTCACGTTTTGGTATACAATGTATAATTTTCCCACTCTCTTTTCCGCCATACAACTTCATATCATACAAGATTGCGGATATATTTGTTTATAATTCACGCAATCGTCGTTAAATTTTTCGTTAGATCTCCGCCAATCAAATTTTCCTTCGTCATCCTCTGCTCCAAAACAAACATGAGACTCGTCACTAAACATTACTTTGCACCAGTCTTCCACAGTCCAATTGACGTGTTCTTCACACCACTTTAAGCCTTTCTTCTTGTGTTTCTTTGTGAATAAAGGTTTTGTTTTTGCCTTGCGAAATAAGAAGCCCATTGTGATCCACTTTTCATTTATTTGTTTTGATGTTGCTCGCCTCATATTTTTAACAATTGCACGCAATTTTCTATCGTCTTTTGTACTTGTTGCACGAGGACGAGCACTTTTCTTTACGGTTAGATACACTTCCTATTTCATTATACTTCTTTTTCATATCGCTTATCGTACTGTGACTACATCCTATAATTTCTGCAATTTTTCTTTGATTATTACCTTGCTTGAGAAGAGTTCGATTACTCTTAACTTTATATCGTTTGAATACAACTTACACGATGGCATATTGCACAGGTCCTTCTTACTTATCCACCGACTGAAATGTTTTGTATTTCAGATGCCTCGGCGGTGAAAGCGTTTGTTTACATTTTCATAAGTACGAGTTGTGTTTACCCTTGCTTCCTCCGCTTGAGATATTCATAGAACTAGTTATTTGAACCATGATCGGAAACATTATTCCAACATTTGTACTGATCAGAAACTTTTTTACATGTAA